ACGGTGGTGATGGCGACAATGACGTGGTAGTCATCTCCAAGCACTCGTACTTCTACACCATTCTCAACACGTCCTTGTGTACCCCTACTCGCCCTCACAACAGCCCTAGGAGGCAGAACTGTTTGTCATTTTGAGAATGAGCAAGCCATCTCTTAAAAACAGTTCCTATGATCAATCTACCAGCATGCAGTGATCAAGACACTTGCCACCACTGAGACCAGTGAGGAGCCACGTCTGCTCTCTGCCATCCACTAGCACCCAAGAGCCTGGGTAGTCACAGTTCCTGAGGGAAAAGCGGGAACTGTGGGTCGTCTGACACCTCCTGGGTCCTTAGCACTGTGACTGTGTTTCCCTCCTGGGTCCTTAGCACTGTGACTGTGTTTCCCTCCTGGGTCCTTAGCACTGTGTTTCCCTCCTGGGTCCTTAGCGCACTGAGACTTGTTTCCCTCCTGGGTCCTTAGCACTGCGCTTCACTCCTGGGTTTTGAATACTTGCTAGGTGTTTTATGAGCCTTTGTATCCTCCCACCAGCCCAGTGAGGCAGGTGTTAACGCTGTCTCTATTTTCACTAATGTTAAAAAAACAGCCGTCTGGCAGTCAGAACTCACCACAAGGTCAGTGTGTTTCCAATCATGACCCCCCACTTCCTCAGAAGGTCCAGCAGAGCACCAGGTGCCTACATTCTACAACACAAGTCCTACTGTGACCCCAGGCAGAGACAGACCATCAATGTCACTCCCCGGGTGACCCTCGTCCCACTCACATTAGAGTCACGCCCTGGTGTCTCAGCCTGCTTTCCGTTACTATGACAGAACAGCTGAGTCTGGACAGTTTATAAAGAAAAGACATCCATACAGCTCCCATTCCCGAAGTATCTAGTGAGGCCTTCCCGCTGCGTCAAAGTGACAGAGCCAGCTGCTAACTGGGTCTATCTCTTGACAAAGCTGCAGTGTCCCTTAGAGGCCCCATCTCCAAATACCATGACGTATGACTCTGGGAACTGTTTCAAAGTGAACTTGGCTGAGGACATCAGCTCCAACAAAGCCCCCCTGCCTTGGACTCTCCTTTGACCCTTCTGTATTTGAACTTGGGACCCCAGGCTTGGAATTCCAGACCAGTGCTCCATTGGGCGGCCAGGTTCCTTACAATGCTGCATTTCCACTTACCTGTTTGTAAAATGGTCAGCAAACCTCACTAGTTGGTATAAGGGGTGAATGCCTGCCTGGCCCACAGAGAGCCTTTGATAAAAAACGAGCAGCTGTCATCAACAACCACAAATACTTGGTGACATAGTGTGGCAGCCACCGACCTGTGCCTGGGTAGAAACTGCATCCGGACCCCACCCAACCTCCACCAGGCAGTGAATTAGCACTTAGCAGGGCCCAGAGAGAAAGAGCCCTTTCAAGGCAGCCTTAGTGACAAGGCCATGTGTCCTTTCCTGATCCAGGTCCCTTTGACCTCGGAGCCTCGCTCCTAGGAAGCACCATGCTTCCTGCATCCCTTCACAACAGCGTTCCAGGACAGAAAACTTGCATAGCAAGCAAGCTCACAAGTCCTGAGATAAACCCCAGAGCGGTCCAGGTTGCCTAGTGTGAGGGAGCCTTGAAGTCTTGCTGCTCGGCTTCCAGGGAGCACCGCTTCCCATCTGATTAACGAAGGGAGTGCTGGGAAGACAGGAAACATAGAAGGGGAAGCCTTGAACGTCAGCGGCCCCCACTCAACTCTCAGCCTCCCCTGATAAGGGAAAGAAAGGATTGTTTAGAGATACCTCCGCAAGCCTATCTGTGTCCATTTTTACAACTCGGGTGGTGTGGGGGGAGATCCACACTTCTAGAAGAGCTGAGATATGTCATATCTTTAAGTGGGGGAAGGGAAGAGAAAAAGCTCTCTGTCATCGTCATCGCTGCCATTGTGGGCTGTCAGCTGACTCGGTTGCTCCCCTGCCTCTGTGTTCTCACAAGGCTTTCAAAGTCAAGGGATCCCTGACCAAGAAACAAAAGCCAACTCGTCCCACTGTCCCGTGGGTAACAAGGTCAGGCACAGCTTGTTAAGACCCTGTGGAGGTTTACAGCAGCAAGGCTGTTCACACTGACTCCGGGGCGACTCGTTCTCCGGGGGCCATCTGGTCTACCAGACACAGCTCCAAGTTTTTATGGCTGGAGATTTAGGCTCAACTGAGGCGAAGATTTGCTAATCATCTCTTTTACATGAGTGAGCTGGTTGGATCAGTAATCAGTATGTAGAACCTTAAAGAAGAAAGGGAAAAAAAGAAGGAAGAGAGGAAGAAAGAAAAATGAAGGAAGCAAGATCCAGTCATACCAGAGTTCAGGAGGCCTGAGACCTGACGAAAGAAGAAAGAAGTTACAGAACAATATGCAAACCACGTTCCTTTTTTAATTTTTTTGTCAGTAGCTGACCAAAAGAAAGATCTGGGGATGGAACACACAAAATTACGGACTATCATGGCGACAGGGTAGATCACAGAGGACCTTTGCTTTTTCATTCAGTCATTCAACCTTTGTGTGTGTGTGATTGTTTTTGTTTCTTGAGACAGAGTCTCTTACCTGACTCAGATTGGCCTCCATCTTGACCCACAGCTGAGGATGACCTTGAACCTCTGACCCTCTTATCTCTGCCTCCTGAGTGCTGGGATTACAGGTTGCATCCGGTTTACACTGGTGCTGGGAATCAACCCCAGGGTGTCCCACATGCTAGGCGAGCCCTCTACCAACTGAGCGGCACCCCAGCCTTGGCAATTATTGTGTGCTGACCGCTCTGTGGAACGCTAAAGACAGAGCCGCAATCTCTTTCCATGACCAACTTCTGTAACCTTTGGGTTTTAGTAATGAACACGTAAAGCCTTTGTAACTGAAAATATCACGAAATCTTGCTCTTCTCCCCAAAGGTAAAATCCCAACATGATCATATGTCACCATCGGACCTTGAGACACAGTCTGCACCCCATCTCCACTTCACCTTCAGTTGCTCCCCACCATGGTCCTCTCTAGATCCCACACATGATGTGGCCCTTCTGGTTGTCTCCTGAGTCACAGGTGGTGGCTGAATGAGAGCCTCGACTGGCCCTGGCCACAGGTGGCACCCAGTTCCTCTCTCATCAGCTCCCCTTGGGGTCCTTCCGGTAGTGCAGATTCCAGGAATCTCAGAGCTGGCCGTTGTCCCGCATCCTCTCTCTCAGTCTGCTTCTGCAACCTATTTCAGAACATCGTCCTTGACCATGTACGTGGGCATGCCTTTGGATACAAGCAAGTCCCCTGCCTCTAACTCAGCGCAGGAGCCTCTAACATCTCAGGGATATCTGGCCATGTTTAGAGACCTTTTGTTCTGTTGATGGGCTGGCCGAGAGAGATACTTCTGGCATCTGACAGAGGCAAGGGAAACTTCTAGACACCCTATAGAGCAGTGGTTCTCAATCTGTGAGTCTCGACCCCTGTGGGGGTCACATATAAGATATCCTGCACATCAGATATTTACATTATAATTCATAACAGTAGCAAACTTACAGTTATGAAGTAACAACAAAGTAATTGTATGGGTGGGGTCACCACAACATGAGGAACTGTATTAAAGGGTCGCAGCGTTAGGAAGGCTGAGAACCACTGCTATAGGGCTTAAGACAGTCTCCACGGCAAGGAAGGGGCTGGCCTACCATGCCAGTAAAGATGACCTGTCGTCCACTCCTCTCTAATTATCCCAGCCTTTATTCTGCAAGCATGGTCTTCCCAGAGCAGCTCACTGCTCGGTCAGTAGCTGAGCCACTTGTGGCTCAGACCCTACTGGAGTCAGGGACCACCAGCAGCCACCCCACTCGAAGCTCATCAGTCAGCTGGGGCGATGACAGGATGCTGCCGTGGGGGACGGGAGTGTCCACTGATTCAGCACACCAGGCACACAGCGGGTAGTGACACCCAAATGTACAGAGGTGCGCTGTATGTTTCTGAGGTGTTTAAATCAGGGCAGTACATTTTAGGCTCCTCCCCATGTCTGCCAGAAAAGATCTTCTGATCTTTAGCCTCCCTTCCAGCTCCACCTGCCATTCTTCCCCGCTGCCACCACCACCTTTCTGCTGCCCAGGGAAACTCCATCACTCCCTGGTCCCCACGGGTCTTCATCCTCTCACTGTTGTGCTATGTGCTGCTCCAAGTCACCACTGCCCAAGTGTGGAACATGTGTGGGCTTTCTCGCTACACTCGAGGCCAACATCTAGACCAGTTACCTTGTTTTTGTTACCTGGCCTCTGTCTCCTTATGAGAATCACTGTGATTGTGTTGAGTCCACACAGATAACCCAGGACAATCTCTACATCAGAGTCCTTAACTTAAGCACACTGGCAAAGTCCCTTTCTCCGTGTACTCACAGGTCCCAGGAACTAGGACCCAGTGATTGGTGCCATCATCCCTCAGCCAGCCTCAACTTCTATTCTGGAATGTTCTCCCTCCCACTCTGCCCACACCTAGTGGCTCCTCAGTCAAAATGGCCCCTCTCCCGAGACCCTCACATTCCCCTGTTCTCCCCTGTCGCGTGGGCACTACCCATGTTCTCTATGTGTTTCTCCCCTGTCGCGTGGGTGCTACCCATGGTTCCTGTGTGTTTCTTATCTGTCAGGGTGGACCGGTCACTTCAGACTACACTCTAAGGCCTGAGAGGGTATGGACTCACAGAATTCCCCACTCTCAATTTTCATACAGAAAATGTTTGTAAAATAGATGCTTTATTGATAGATTTTTAGTTTCTACCAAAACGAAGTCATTCACAATATGGATTTGTGTCTGGTCTGTCTAACAACCACTTAAAAATAAAAACGTTGGATGACAGTCCGTCCTGTCTTGATGGGAAGGCCACAGTACCTTTGTCCGCCTGTCTACAGACTGCAGATTCCATAAGTCTTCGTGCATGGCTGGGTGATGCACATCTGTACCGGGGACAATTAGAATACTGAAGCAGAAGGGTCACAAGTTCAAGGCCAGCCTGTGCTATGTAGCAAGATCACACACACACACACACACACACACACACACACACACACACCCTCTCTTGCTGGTTTTGTTTTTACAAGACAGCGTTTCTTTGTGTAGCCCTGGCTGTCCTGGAACTCGACTTTGCAGACTAGGCTGTCCTCGAACTCACAGAGATCCACCTGCCTCTCCCTCCTGAATGCTGGAATTAAAGATGTGAGCTGCCACGAAGGGGCAAGACCACATCTCAAAAAGGATAGACATAAACAAAAAGAGAGGAAGGGATGGGTCAGAGGGAGGGGCGGAAGTGGGGGAAGAAAAGGGCACAGGGGAAACTGATACCTCTCCTCCCGCCCCTCTTTTTAAGGGCTCTCTCTGTCTCTAATATATCTTCTGGAACATTACAAGAAAATCATGAGCCAGACCCAGGAACTTCGGGTGATTCTTTACGTTCTCTTCTCCCCTCCCCAACTGTGAATTTGAATTTGTTTCCATGCTGTGGGTGAGTCAGCCCCCACCCTCCTGCAGGTGACAGGATTTTCCATTGGCACAAAGGGACTGAGCCCAGTGTCTGAGATGCTTCACAAAGAAATAGACAAACACAGGGCATCTGCTGTATCTGACCTCCTGGGGTAACCACAGTGCTTGATTTCCTCTATAAAAACTCCGAAAGAGGGCCAGTGAGGTGACTCAGCAGATCAGGGTGCTCGCCACCAAGCCCGACCTCCTAAATTCAACCCCCAGGACCCACACGGTGGAAGGAGAGAACTGACTTCCAGGCTTCCCTCTCATCTCCACTCGATGCCATGACACATGCCTACACACACGCGCGCACACACACACACACACACACACACACACACACGCAGATGGTGGACCAGATCTATAGCCGGCAGCTCATCAGTTCCATTCCGCAGATATGGACGTTGGTGATCAGAGAGGTTGGTGATAATCTGTCACACAACTATTTGGATAAAGAATCAAAAGTAGGAGCCTTCCAACAATACTAGCTGCCATTTACTGAGCACTTACTACGCACTATGCACTGGGCTAAACATCCCCATCATGTCACAAATAAGATGCAGGCAGGATGACACCTCCTGTTTGGAATGGGGAAGCACGTAGAATTAACTAGAGCAGGGATCTCTTGTCTAGGACCAGGGTGTGGCATCTTAATATTCTTGCTGTTTCCTCGCCAGCCACTTCTCTAGACCAAGAATGGTTCAGCCATGTTTTTAAGGAGCTTTTATGGAGGGCTTTGCTCCCTGGAAGATAAACAATTCATAAGGAAGGAGAAAAGACCCCAGTCTCTCCCCTGTGGGGTTCATTTGGCTTTTCTCTCCATGCAGGTCCAGGTGAGTGCTTCTCAGGAAACTCAGCAGTCTCAGGAGAAGGAGTACCTGGCCGAGAAGGAGAAGCTGAACAAAGAGAAGCTGGAACAAGAGGAGAAGCTAAAAGCCAAAATCCAGCAGCTGACAGAAGAGAAGAAGGTAAGGTGATCCATGACAGTTCCTTTGAGGCTGAGAAGTGGGAACTTTCCATGGGTCACTGAGGGCTTGGAGTTGAACAGTGACCTCCCCAGCTTCTGGATTGGTGTGATGTTCTAAATGAGTTGCATGGGGTGAATGATTGGGTTCTAAACCCACAGTAATGGACTGGAAAGATGGCTCAGTGGTTAAGAGCATTGACTGCTCTTGCAGGGGACTGGTGTTTGTTTTCCAGCACCCACATGACAGCTCATAAGCATCTATAACTCCAGTTCCAGGGAGTCCAATGCCCTCTTCTGGCCTCTTTGAGCACTGCACACAGATAGCACACATACATGTGGGCAAAACACCCATACATAATACATAAAAATAAGTAAATCTTTAAAGGGGGGCTGGAGTGATGGCTCAACAGTTAAGAACACTAGCTGCTCTTCCAAATGTCCTGAGTTCAATTCCCAGCAACCACATGGTGGCTCACAACCATCTATAATGAGACTTGGTTCCCTCTTCTGGCCTGCAGGCATACATACAAGCAGAACATTGTATACATAATAAAATAAATAAATCTTTTAAAAGATAAATAAATAAATCTTTGAAAAGAAAAACATCACAGAAAGATCAAGTGGAAAAGGCAGACATGTTGACATTTCAGGAAACGGTGCCCTATTCATTCTACATTGCAGCTAACTATACTAACAGGAGTGGTTACAAGACCCATTGTATCAGACTCTGTGGAGAAGGTAGAAAGTGTGTCCAAATCCAGTTCCCGTCATTCTCCTGCATCACACTTGAGGACCTCACCCCATTCTGTTGCTTTCTTTGCTTTCCTCCTTGGTCAGTGGTTCATGACCTCATTGCTTGGCTGTGTTTACAGACTCTGAGGACAAAGGCAGGAGTGTAACCCAGGCTCTGGGGTTGGCAACTTTGCAAAGCATAACCATAGTTGGTAGCCACAATCAGAGCGGGTGTGGAGGGCCGTGCATTTGTTCCCATCTGCCAGACTCCAAGTCCTCCCAAGAACCCTTTCTCTCCTCAGGAAGGGACAAGGCCTTCCACAGCATTGTCACCTCTTGTTGGCTTCAGACTCGGACAGTCCTTCTCTGCCACACACCTGCTCCCCGCCCTCTCTCCAACCTCCAGTTCACAGTCAGTTTCTTTGGGATAGCTGTCTCCTCCTTCCTCTTTGCCTTTCCTCCTTATTAGTTATTCAGTGTGTGTGTGTGTGTGTGTGTGTGTGTGTGTGTGTGTAAGTCTGAGGACAGTGGCAGTCAGTTCCCTCCTTATGCCATGTAGGTCCTGGGAATTGAACTCAGGTCATTGGGTATTGCAGTAAACATCTTTGCCGTTTCCCTAGCCCCCTTCCTGACTCTTGTGAAGTGCAGGGTATAAAATGGGAGAGTCAACAGCCAAAGCTCGTAAAGGGAAGATTAACAATGGCTGCTGTGCTTATCAGCCTTCTTGTTGCTAGGGTAGAATGCCTGAGAGTTTTTAAAGGGTCTTTTTTTTTTTTTAATCTCAAACTCACAGAGATCCACCTGCCTCCACCTCCCGAGTGCTGGGATTGAAGGCATGCACCATCACTACCCGGCTTGATTGTTTTAAAAAGTCGTAAAGAAGGAAGGATTCTTAAAAAAAAAAAAAAAAAGTATTTTGTGCACACAACCGTGGGTTTCATTACGACATTTCCACGCCTATATAACATTCTACAGTGACCCTATTCACCCCATTACTCCTGCATGTCCCCCTCAGTTCCGCCCCTCCTCAAAACAGTCCCCTTGGCTTGCTCATCACACTCTGCAAACTACTTCCCAGGTGTGAAAGACCACGAAATAGGGTTGAGCACAGTGACACACGCCTTTAATCCCAACACTTGGGTGGCAGCAGCAGGCAAATCTTTGGGGGCTAGAGGCTAGCCTGGTCTACATAATAAGTTCCAGGTCAGCCTGGAACTCAGTATGCTTAAAGTAAAGAGATAGTCTAGTGCTGGATCCATAGCTCCTCATGCAACCTGTGGACCAAACCTCCCTCATCAGTTCCACACATGAGATAAAACGTGATGCTGGACTCTCTGGGTCTGGCTTCTTTCTCTTAACGTGGTGATTTCCAGTGCCACCTATTTCTCTGCAAACTGTCGTTCCATTCTTCCCTACGGCTGCTTTATGCAATGCGACACATTTTCTTTCCATGTCTGTTTACCTGCTGAGGGGTGTCCAGCCTGTTGCTTGTCTTGGCTGTTATAAATGGCCGGGTGATAGACGTGGATGTGCAGGTACCGCTGGTTTGGATTCATTTAGAACCTGGATTGTAGGGTAATTGTGTTTAGCGTTTTAAGAGGAAGGAAGAGTTTACGTGTTTGCTGGACCCCGTGCACTTAGCAGAACATTACAGAGTCAGGAGCGTGTGGCAGAGAGGGCCTTGTGCTTCCTGGTGGGCAGGAAGCAAAGAGAAGAGAAAGGAGCAGGGATCAGTGTAACCCAAGAGAGTTATGATCAACTTTCTGCTCAGTATAACCCAAGAGAGGATGCCCTGCTGACCAACTTTACTACTACTAAGCCCCACGTCCTAAAGTTTCCAGAACCTTCTAAGATGACGGCACAGGTGGGAACCAAACCCATCCAGCAGGAACCTGTGTTTCAGATTCAGACCACAGAAGTCGAAATCACAGTGGTAGATTTTAGAGAAGAACCAAGTGGTCAATCAGCTTGACCCCGGAGATTCACCTGAAAGAAACTCTGTGGGCTTTAGTCCTGGTGTGCGTGTGTGTGTGTGTGTGTGTGTGTGTGTAGACATGCTCATGTCATGGCCCATGTTTGAGGTCATAACACAGCTTTCAGAAATCAGCTCTCTTCTTCCACCATGTGACTCCCAAATATTAAACTCAAGTTGTCAGATGTGGCAAGCAAGCCTCCTTACCCACTGAAATATCCCACCAACCCCTCCTTGCTTTGTGAGACAGGGTTTCTCACTAGCCTGAAACTTGTCAAGTAAGCTAGACTACCTGGAAGCTAGAACCCAGGAATTCACCTGTCTCCTCCTCCCCGGGACTGGGATTACAAGACCACACCACTATGCCTGGACTTTCTTTTCTGTGTGTCTCTGTGTGTGTTACACATTCATGAGGTCATGCATATTCATATGCATGTGGGGGTGTACATATGTGTGCGACTACACGTGCATAGCATGTGCTCATATGCACTCAAGCATGGAGGCCCAAGGGTCCTCCCTGATCACAGTCCACATTATTGATTGAGTCAGGGTCTCTCAGTTGAGCCCAGAGCTCACAGACACAGCTAACTATTGAGCTTGCTCAGGGCTCCCTCTTCTCTGCTTCTAGAACCCTGGAATTACAGACAGACTGCCACACCCACCCAGCATTTCCCTGGGTGCTGGGGACCTGAACGCTGGTCCTCTCCCTTGCACATTTCACCTGCTGTACCATCTGTCCAACCCCACACCTGTTTTTAAGCAAACGCTGGGCATCAACTCAGGACCTTGTGCCTGCATGCCAAAAAGTGCTTTCCTGACAGACTGTGCCATCTCCCCCTCACTGTCCTGCTTTTAAATGACCCTTCCTCTTGTACTAAACTTGTCTCTAAGTTTTAGCTCATCCCTCAGCCTCCCTCCCATAAATCCTGGTTGCTCCGAGGACTTTTTTTTAAGTGGCCAAAGAAATGTCAAGTGTTGTCATTAATCCAGCACCCATTTATGATGATGATGATGATGATGATGGTGATGATGGTGGTGGTGGTGGTGGTGGTGATAACTACAATTATGATGATGATGATGACGATGATGGTGATGATGATGGTGACGATGGGTCCTAAACAGCACCCTCTTAATTTTTGCACACACTTCTTACTGCTGTAGGCCAATGTCAGCAAACTTCCTCCACAGCACTAGATAATAAATGTCTTGATTGTTGCAGGCTACTTGTTTTCGATCTCTGCTGTGATTTTGCAGCTCTGCTCTTTGTTCAAAAGTAGCTGCAGACCACACATCCACAGTGCTCATAGAGAGTCCAAATAAAACTTTATTTACAAAGCAGCTGTAGACCACACATCCACAGTGCTCATAGAGAGTTCCAATAAAACTTTATTTACAAAGCAGCTGTAGACCACACATCCACAGTGCTCATAGAGAGTCCCAATAAAATTTTATTTATGAAACAGCAGTGAGTGGGAGGGGGTGGGATTTTGCTAGCCTTGGTCCTACACTCATCCATCTTCAGTCCCACCACCCAGAAGTCTTCTTCAGACCTAGCCACCCATCTGTCCAGACCTGGCAGGAAGTCTTTTTTAGGTTGGTTTAGAACACAATTTAGAGTCGATAAGGCTGATTCTCCAATATCTCTACCTAAGCCTGTATCCCCCTCTGCAGCACAGAGGCCGGTGACTGTCACTGTGCCAAGCTTCTCACACTGATCATTTCAGCATCCCTTCCTCACATCAGCCCAAGACAAGAAACATCAGTACTGATCTCATTGTACAGATAGGGAAACTGAGGCTTCTATGCATAGAGCCTCAGCTGCCAGGGCCCAGAGCTGGGAAGAGTCCATCCAGGTTCTCACCTGACCCGGGCCACACTCCAGAACCTGTGCTCCAGCCCATAGACTCTGCTGCCCACACTCTCCTTCAGGTGTGATAAGAACTGAAGACAGAACCTGGCAGAGTCCACTTTCCTGCCATGGTTTCCAGGTCTGTCTAACAAGGGTCCTTGACTTGCAGGCCCTGGAGACAGCTATTGCCCAAGAGAGAAACAAAGCGAAGGAGACTCTAGAGGGGGAGCAGAAGAAAGCCCGAGAGGTGGAGAGTCGCTTGGCCTACCAGAAGAAGGTAAGCAGTTCTGAGAGGGGAAGTTGAGTCCGCCCACAATCGAGTCTGGGTCTACAGTTGTCAGGGTCCACCTGAGGCTCTCACACAGACCTGCTTCTCTGGAGCCCACTGAGCCCTGGTTCCTCTTCCCCGGGCCCCGTGGAGCCTGCTCAGGATGGAAGCGCAAACCAAGCAGAGCCCAGGGAGAGTCCACGTCCTGCCATGGCAACAGGTGGACTCCACAACAGCTGTTGGCTTGCAGGCTTTGGAGGAGAGCATCACGCAGGAGAAACACAGAGCACAGGAGGCCCTGGAGAAGGCGCAGACTCGAATTCGTGATCTGGAGAGCCACTTGGCCTGTCAAAAGGAGGTACGCCCAGCTCTGGGAGGTCAGCCGGCTAGAGGGACTGAGGGAGACGGAAGAGGGGTGGGGCACAGCGGCACTGTCCTGTGCTGTTTGTCCTGGCCTGGGTTCTGCAGTTGGGAGAAGCAGAGAGGACTTGGAAGAGAGCCATGGATATGTAACCTTGCCAACCAGTTGAGGAGGGGAAAAAAAGTGAATGTGATGAGCCAGACATGGTGGCTCTTGCCTGTCCTCCTGACACTGGGAAACTGAGAGGGTTGCTGTGAGCCAGGCATGGTGGCTCCTGCCCATCACCCTGACACTAGGAGACTAAGAGGGTCACTGTGAGTTTGAGGCCAGCTAAGGTTATAGCACAAAGGCTCTTTCTCATGAGTGACAGAGTGCAGACTGAGACAGATTGGGGCCTAGTTGCACGTGTCCTGTCTGCTCCGAATGGGGAATGACAGGATCTTGAGAGAATGATTCAACCACATCCTAAACTCACGCATCTTCAGTACCAGCGCCCAGAAGTCTTCGGCCCTGGGCGGAGGGATGCCCAGGACTGGCAGGAACTTTCTTAGGCTGGGGTGAGTCACGCTCTTTCGGGCCAAAAGGTGACAATCATCAACCCATCTCAGGCCTCAGGCTTCCTCTTCCACACAGCCGTCTAGATGTTTAAAAGCCAGGCACCAACTCCCACATCCTTCCCAGCCACTACCGCCCCACCCACCCCATGCCCACGCACAGCGGGCTAGGAGTCTGGCCTGGATGGCCTTCCCATGGCCGCTCTGCACTCCAGAAGTCACTGACCTGAGGTTCAGTGGGTGAAATGGCCTGCAGATGTGTTGGACCTGGAATGTTTTTGTTGGGACCCCTAAAATGTATTTGAAAATTCAGATTTCCATTCTCTCTTGGAAAGTCAAAAAGCTCCGGCCCTCGTTTCCACTGTGGAGGAAAAGGGCGCAGGGAGGGTGAAATAGATCCCAGCAGCAGCAGCTGGGTCGTCCTTTGAGCCTCGACCCTCTCATGAGCTTTGCCCTTTGCAGTCCATCACCTGTCCTCTTCCTACAGTACAGAAACCAGAACCAAATGCCATCCTCCGGCCGCAGACACCTGGGGAAGGCTTTTCCTCCCCCTCGTGAAGGATGCTGTGTTTCTGTGGATGTGCCCAAACTCTAACCCACGGGCAAACCCTTGCCAGTGTTCATTTAGCTGGTCATCAGTCTCAGAGCCCTGGTCCTTTCACACATGGGCTTTCGATGATGCCTCCGGCCTGAAGGTGCAGGCTTCGCAGCCACACGAAACGCCAGTTTGAGTGTATCCATACCTCCTTTCTTGAAAGGGAGCCAGGAAGACCAGAGATAAAAAAAAAAAGCCAGGACAACCAAGCATTTGACCCAACCAGCTCTCTGGTGGCTGCTGTCATTATCACTACAGCCAGGTCTCCCTGCACTTGGGCATAGCCCCTTCCTGTCCCCGCTCCCTTCCCCTGGCCCCCACCCCACTTCCTGGCAACCCACCCTCCTCAAGTAGATAGAATGTGTCTGGTTTGTCTGCCCTCCACCAGAGAGAAAGTAGCCCCCATATGCAAGTCTACCCAAACAGTCTGATGTAACCCAGGGAGATGTTTACACGTGGTTTCTCACCCAGCTGTTCCTCAGCGCTCTGTAAACACTGTCACCAAGGTTTGCCTTTGAGTCAGGTTTCCAGGCAGAGTGAGGACGTGGGGGTGGGGTCTCCATGGAGTCACTTCAGTCAGATGCCATCCAGGAGTCAACAAGGGCTGGCCAGGCCTTTGAATTTAAAGACTCCAAAGTGACAGAGCATGTCAGAAAAACCGAAACCTCTGGGTCGGGTGTGGTGATACACACCTCTAATCTCTACTCAGACAGCAGAGGTAGGTGGATCTGTGTGAGCTTGAGGCCAGCCTGGTCTACATGCAGAGTTGTAGACCAACCAGTACAGCACAAGACCCAGCCTTAAAAAAAAAAAATTAAGCATCATGCAGGGGTCAGTTGGGCTTAGTTACACCAGTCTGTCAGAGGGCCAGGCCACCTCTGACAAGGCCTGGCCTTAGTTTCTCCCCAGAAAGGATTAAGCCAGCACCAGGGGTGTTTTGTTCATTTGTTTCTTGGGTTTTTGGTTTTGGTTTTTGATTGTTGGTTGTTTTGTTTTGTTTTGTTTTGTTTTGACAAAGGATCTGTTAGCCCAGGCTGGCCTCAAACTCACTATACAGACAAGGATGACCTTTGAACTCCTGATCATCCTTCCTCTACCTCCAGGTGCTGGGATCATGGGAATGAACCACACAAAACTGTCTCTGTGTAGCTCCTCGCCTCCTCCTGTGGATTAGAAGCCTCTGAAGGCTAATCCCCACCCCCACCCCGCCTTGTAGACTCTAGTGGAAATCATGCTGCAAGTTCCAAGTTCCTGATGTCAGCTGTGATGTAGGGGGAGACCCTGTGAAGGCTGAGGCGACCTTTCTTGGGATTTCAGATTCTCTGGCGGTGGAATCTGCAGCGAGTCTATAAGCAGAGTGACCACAGCAAAAAATGGACCAGATGAAATTCTGTGGCCAGGGACAGCAAAATGTTAGCCCAGAGCTCTTCCCTTGCTCTAGCACATCCCTGCAAGGCTCATCCTGAACTTCCTAGAAAGTGACAGGCTCATGTTGTGCTCAAGCTGAGATCACCAGAGTCCAGTCAAGGCCAGAATGCAAAAGCAAGGTTTATTCTTCCCAGCTAGCTGGGAGTTCCCCACATGCAATGCAGCGCAGTAGGGAGAGCTCCCGTTCCTCATTTGGGATTGACATATATAGGCAAAAACTGCAAGCCAGGTTTACTTAGGGTCAAGGGGATTGGTTTTGCTGAGTACAGGGTATGGACTACTTCTGCTTCTGTATGTGCCCTCCGCCCTCCCCCCAGCAGTTATTTCTGCTCCTGTCTAGACCTCAAAGCTGGGTGTTGACAGGGGGCTAGCTGCTAGGGACAGTTGGCCTGCACTTTTGCAAAGATTCCTGTTTCCAGTTAACTCTTGACGCTGCAAAGAGCTCAAGGTATGTGTCTTAACCAGCTCCTGACCAAGCAAAGCTTTTTAAAAGTTTTTATGCCCTTACAGTGACAGGCTCATTCATCCCCATACCTCCATCCTTCTGAGACCAAATCTTCAGAAATCAGCTCCACTAGTTGGAGAGTCCACCATCAATGGGATTCTTCTCCCGCAGAACGTGGGTCCCTCTGCGTGCGGGTCTCCTCCCAGAACCTCTGAACACAGCTTGTGTGTTTGCTGTGTTCGGGACCCTGGCCTCCCTGTTGACAGACAGTGTGGCCCCCACCTCTTCTGGCCCCTGGTTCCCTGTCTGTTAAAAAAGATCCTAGGTCAGGCAGTGGTGGCACACACCTTTAATCCCAGCACTTGAGAGGCAGAAGCAGGCGGATCTCTGTGGGTTTGAGGCCAGCCTGGTCTACAGAGGGAGTTCCAGGACAGCTAGGACTGTTACACAGAGAAACCCTGTCTCAAAAAAAAAAAGAAAGAAAAAAAAAGGGGAATCCTAATAGCAGCTCTATGGTAGGGGTGCCATGGGGTGAGGTCATCCTGAGGGTAACATCACCGCCCATCTTAGCTGCTAGCCTTAACTCGGATGCTGATATTATTGGCCGTGCCTTTCAGGTCTTGGAGGACAGTGTGGCCCGTGAGAAAAGAAAAGTGCGGGAAGCGCTGGAGGCGGAAAGGAGGAAGACACAAGACCTGGAGAACCAGCTGACCCAGCAGAAGGAGGTAGGAGCAGCCAGGGCCCTCCCTCCAGGAGGACATGCGGCCAAGTGTGCCTGACAACCCCGTAGTCCCCTGGTCCTGCTGCTGCACTTGTGCAGGAAGTGGCCCCCACCTGCCACTCATCAGCCAGCCAGGGAGGATCCCTGGAGCTCAGACCCCTGCGGGGACCCTGAGAAATGGGAATTGAAGTTATCTCTCTGTGGGACAAAAGTCACCATACATAAAGTGCACACAGCCCCTCTCTGAAGCTACCAGGAGCTGTGCCTGCTGAAACAGGAAACATGCGCCAAGCAGCGCCACTCTGCTCCGCCTCCCAAAAGCCAGGGACTTTCCAGGGTGAACCTGGCCTGGTGCCAACACACCTACCAGGTCAGACAGTACCTCAGCACCCAGTGACGGGGCTGAACACTCGTGACCATGTCGTTTACTGATACCAGCCTGGGAACCAGGAACAAGGAGCCCCTCCTTCCTTATCCTCCTGGGACTGAGACATAGCTTCCTGCTCCCCAGCCTCCTCGCTTCCTCTCACCTCATCCAGGCAGGCGCCTGGTTCCTTGAGTTCTTGTCCGAGTCACTGGTTTCAGTGGTGACTCACCTTGGCTTCCCCTGCAGTGAGTTGGCCTCTGTCTTAGTCACCCGTTAAACTGCTGGGGAACAATGCCATGACCAAGGCAACCCTTATAAAAAGAAAGTGTTTGATTGAGGACTTGCTTACAGTTTCAAAGGGTTATAGTCCATCATCATCATGGGGGGAACAACACAGTGAGGGGGGACGGACATGGTGGGAGCATGGCAGCTCTCACCACAGTCCTGGAGCAGTAGCCAAAAGTTACAGCCGGATCCAAAGGCAGAGAGCAAGACACTGGGCCTGGAATGCCCCCTCCCAGGGACACACTTCCTCCCACAAGGCCACACCTATGATTCTATGGGGAGGGGCTCTTATTCAAACCAGCACCCCCTCTCTTCTGCTCTCACCCTCAAATCCCTCTTTGACTTCCAGATCGCAGAGAGCATCACCTTTGAGAGACTCAAAATGCGAGACACCCTAGAGAAGGAAAAGAGGAGAATCCAGGACCTGGAGAACCGCCTGACCAAGCAAACAGAGGTATGGCGCTCTGAGATGAGAGGTCCATCCATGGTGCCCGCGGACCCCTCAGGCCCTGCGGTCAGGCAGACAGATTCAAATCCTTCTTCTGCTGTGCGACTTTAGGAAAGTTGCTCACGGCCTCTGGGCCCCGGTGTTCCCACATGTGAAATACAGTCAACTTCATTCAGTGGTGAGACACAACATTGACTATAGCATACGGACAGACGCACGCGGCGTGAGCTGCATGTGTCCGCTCCTGGCTCAGAAATGCAGGGGTGGGGGCAGGATCCGAACCCAGAACTCCCAAACCGTTCATCTTCACCTACCTCTTGTGTAGGATAAGGCAGGGATGACAGAGAGGGGACATCCAGTCATTTCCTTGTCCTTTTCTTAGCAGAGTTTGTCATAGCGGTCATTACCATCCAAACTAAAATGCATTCTGACAAGACCCACAGTTCTGACCTGATGGGTAAAGAGGAGGTGGCTGCACACACCTCAAAAACTGCAGATACTTGCTCATCCTGGGTGACGTGTGACAGACACATGCACATGTGCACAAGCATGCAAGAACACATAACACACACACTTTAGCCAATATCTTAGTCAAAGTAGGTGAGCAACACCCAACCTGGCAATTGTGAGTTAAATTTATGTTGAAAGGATCTCCTGGGCCCACTGGTCTAAGAAGGGTGTCTATGCCTCCATTTTGTGTGGTTTTCTTTAAACACAGGCACCCACACATTGTCGTGCATGTGTTTTGAGTGCCCTGGACATAGGGTGGATCTGGAATCAGGGGTTTCTGTTTGTTTGTTTTTTTGAGACAGGGTTTCTCTGTGTGACCCTGGCTGTCCCGGGACTCCCTCTGTAGACCAGGCTGGCCTCAAACTCACAGAGATCCCCCTGCCCCTGCCTCCTGAGTGCTGGGATTAAAGGCGTGCGCCACTGCCTGGCTGGAATCTTTGTTTCCAACAAGCTACCCAAATGACTCTGGAGCGTTTTGAACGCTGCCACCTAAGGAGAAACAAAGTCAGCAAAGCTCTCAAGATGGTACAGCTGCTCTGGACCCCACTCGGATGGGAGGCCTTAACTGACGGATGGGTGTCCAGAGGACAAAGTAAGGCAAGGCCCAGGAGTTCAGGGCTGCCACACTCCCATGTTGGGGCCTGGAGCTCAGACCACAGGAGCTGTCTCTACTCTATTTCCCAAATACTGCACCCTGGAATGCTGCAGAATGAGTCAATAAGTGGGAGGGGGTGTAAGCCAGTAAGGGGTGGTAAAGAAGGGAAGATAAGCTAGTAATGGGACTAATGTAAATATATATATATATATATATATAGTAACGTATATACAAGTATATATGTATACACATATACATACATAGACTTATCACACACACACACACACACACACACACACACACACACACGTGTATCAGGGCTGGAAAGATGGCTCAGCAGTTAAGAGCACTGACTCCTCTTACAGAGAACCCGGGTTTGATTCCTGTCACCCACATGACAGTTCAAACCACCCATAACTCCAGTTGCAGGGGATCCAACGTCCTCTTCTGGCCTCCACGGTAGTGTTTAAGCACAATGACAGGCCAAATACCCATACACATAAAATAAAAGTAAATCTTTTTAAAAAGCATGGCTTGAATTAATAAACAAACTACAATATATTCCAGCCGTTCCAGGGCAAGGAAAAACTAGTTGTGCAGTCACTACACAAAAACAGAGCAAGCACAGCAGGGCCATTAGTGCAAACCTGTAAACCCAGCTACGCGGGAGACTGAGGGAGTTCAAGACCAGTCTGGGCTGCAAAGCGAGCTTGGGGGTAGCTGGGAAACTTGCTAAGACCCTATCTCAAAATCAAAAGGAGAGAGAGAGAGAGAGAGAGAGAGAGAGAGAGAGAGCGCTAAAGATAGAGTTCAAGGATACAGGGCTTGCCTAGCAAGACCCCGGGTTCAAGGATTCAAGACCCACAGCCAAATGGCAGGCAAACACAGGGAGGACGAAGCCCTTCCAGGTGCCAGCCCCAAGGAGCTCCTACACCAGGGGCTATTATAAAAAGAATTGTGCACACAACAAAGGACATCTGTAGCGGTAGCAGCAGCCTTAGATCAGATGCCCAAAGGCATCTGAGGGAGACCTCAGAGTTGGCCAGTGACAGCAAACACATCAGGAGGAGCAGTGACACCCCCCACACACACACGCACCATGCAAACACATCAGGAGGAGCAGTGACACCCCCCACACACACACACCATGCAAACACATCAGGAGGAGCAGGGACACCCCCCACACCAGGTAAACACATCAGGAGGAGCAGTGACACCCCTCCCCCCCCATACAAAGGGACCTACCACGCACCAGGACAGAGCACACAACTGCAAAGCAAATGTTGTGTGACTCTGGCAGGGATCCTGCCGACCAATCCCCAAACCCAAACAAAAAGCAAAAATGGACAAGTTAAAAGCTTCTGCCCAGCAGAGGGAACAGTGTGCAGACGCAGCCCCCAGATTGGGCAGGAAATACTTGCCAGATGCAGGTCTGGTTAATCTCTAAACCTTCTGAGGAATTCAGTGGCCCAACAGCAAACACACAGGCACCCAACAGACTTGTTTGGTGTTATGGTGCTGAGGAATGGAGCCCAGAACCTCACACACACTGGCCAGGTGTGCATCTTCCACTGAGCTACATCCAACTTTATTTTATTATTTTTGAAATGCGGTCTCACTTATTTGACCAAATTGACCTTGAACTCACTATGTAATCCAGGCTGGCTTCAGTTCCATCATCCTCCTGCCTCTCAGCCTTTCAAGTAGCTGGAATTACAGGCTGGCACCATCGCACCTGGCCTGAATAGACATTTTTTAAAAAATGTTATTTTATTTTTTTGTATCCACGAGTGTTTTACCTGCGTATTTGATGCCAAAAGAAGCCAGAAGAGGACATTTCTGGAGTTATAGATGGTTGTAAGCCACCATTTGGGCACCGGGAATCGAACCCTGGCCCTCTGGGAAAAGAGCCAGGGCTCTTAGCCACTGAACTATCTCTCCAGACCCCTGAATAGACATTGTTTTTAAAAAGAAGATTAAAAACTAGCAGATACATGGAAAGTGAAACCCCGAGGCTATCAGAATAGCCAGTTTCAGAAAAACTGAGGGTATTTAACTCAGCCAGTAGAGTGCTCGCCTAGCATGCCTGAGGCTGGGTTCTGGCCCCAATAGTTCATAAACTTGATTTGATGGCACATGCCTATAATCCTAGTACTTGGGAGGTAGAAGTGGGAGAATCAGGACTTCAAGGTCATCCTTAGCCCCTGAGGGAATTCAAAACCAGCCTCAGCTACAGTGGGCTCTATCTCAACAACAACAAAAAAAAACAAACACTACTCAGACCTAGAGTGGCTTATTTGCACACAATTTTATTTGGATTCACAATGGAGCAATCAAAGGTCAATGCCAAACTGGCCACGGTGGCACACACATTTAATCCTAGTACTGGGGAAGCAGAGGCAGGTGGATCTCTGAGTTTGAGGGCAGCTTGGTCTACAGAGCGAATTCCAGGACAGCCAGTATTGTTCTTTAAAAAGAATATGATGTTGGGATGCCCCGGGCGGCTCGCAGAGCAGCTTCTAGTCTGACAAGGATGGCTGTGGGTCCCTGCAAGATCTCCAGGGTGGCAGCGCCATGCGGCCGGGGGAATCAGGCGGGCGGTTACGGCGGATAAAAGGCTCACAGGACATAGTATTATTTAAAGAAGAAGGAGACATTTATTGCTTAAAGAAGAGGAAAACAGAAAAACGTAAGAGAAACATAGAGAGAAACAAAGACACATGTACACACGACAAGAGACAAACATAAGAGAGAGAAAGATGGCGACGGGGGAGGTCAGAAGTGGCTGGGGTGGGCGTGGTTAGTCCTTAAAGTGACCGCAAAGGAATAACATTCCCAGATCTGTAAGCTTCCGCACTTTTCTGTGGACACCCGAACCTCGAAACAGGCGCGCGCTTTTCCTGACTCGAGCCCACGAGAACGGACGATCGTCCTAGGGGTTTGAACACATGACACACACACAAAGAGACCGGGCTCATCTGCCAAGGAGCAAACAGCAAATGGCAGCTTTATTAAGCATAAGTCGGGTATATATACTGTGGGGCAAAAGGACACCAGCCCCCCATCAGGATCAAGGAAAGAGAAAAGTCAGGGGGCCGCACGCACCCAAGGTCGGAGAGCAGCTAAACAGAGAAAAGAGGAAGCCAGGTGGGCGTGCTCAGGCTCAGAGAAAAGCTGACCGGGGAACCTTGCCTGCGGGCGAGAACCTTGCTTGCAGGTGGAATTACCATGACAGAAGAGTTCTCTCTAAGCTACACCCTTGGGCCTTATGGCAAAATTAACATAACAGGAGAGGGCAGTTCTATGCTACACCCTCAAGCTGAAGCAGTGGAACCAGGAAGCAGAACAGCCCTGCATAGCGCCTCGGAAAAATGGGGAACCTGTGTACCTACACAGATCCTTTTTATAATAAAAAGTAGAAGGTTAGACATTACAGTTTGAAGGAATTGGGGCTGCGAATTCTTAAGACTGCTTCCGGCTGATTTGTGGGCGTCGTCTTTGGCGGGGGGGAGGGTGAGGGAGATTCGAGAGAAGCTGGGTGTTGGTCACATTCTGGCATAGTTGGTCTCTGCTCCCGACGGGTGTCTGTGGCATGGAAATGTCTGGTGTCCCTTGTACCTGGTTAGGGTGTTGGCAGAACAGAGGACAAAGTTAAACTGAGAAAAAAAATTTAGGACCAGGGAATTGAGGGGTTTATATCTGACCTGTTTACGGTGGGTTCTTTAATTTGGCTCCCTGGAACTTAGAAGAAAAACAGAAGTTTTAGACATATATATTGTATTAAGAACTCCTTGAGTTTGTAAAAACAGAAATTATAATGAAAAGTATTTTTATTTGGTGAGACAACCTGACAAAACCTCTTAGCTATCACACTGTCAGAGATCTTTGAGAAGGATAAGATTTTACTTGAGTTACTGATTAAAAAATGACAGAGATCTTACTTGGTTGGCATCTAGAGCTACTCTTTTGGGTCCTCCCTGGTTGCTGAAGGTTGCATTTGACCTTTGTTATTTAGTGTAGAGCCTGTCCGGCTTTTGAAGACCCTGTGGGCTAAGAAATCTTTAGGAAGACAGGCCTACCTTACCCTGGGCAGCTAGACTGTCGATTCCAGTGATTTTGTCCACGTTTGGAGGTCTCCAGTTTAGGTGAAAGGCAGTTTTTGCCCAATGGTCAGCACTTGGGAGTCGAAGCAAACTGCAGATGGACGCTGGTGTTTGACAGTTTGTCTTATGTCTTCTCGAAGGAAACAGAGTGCTTGCTAGGAGCCAACCTGTCTCTTTTTGTTATGAAAAGTTTTTTAAATAATTAAACATTTAAATATCGCATTCCCCAGATCTCTGAGCAGTTGAGGGCTGATTATTAGGTATAGCTGCAGTATAGAATCTGTCTGGAAGGTTGGGTCTGAGTTTGACTGTATCGACTCTTAATAGGTAAGATTTACATTTGTAAAAAGGCAGACAGAAAGAAAAAAAACTGTTTGTAACATTAAGATTAGTGGCAGAACTGACACTGGTAGAAAACAGCTTAAAAGTCCATACCAGTTTAAAATATGAGACTTATGATTTTGTAGTCTGAAACGAGATGAAATGAACAATCATTATACATAGAAAGATTGAACAGGAATTAGGCAGAGTGCATGCTTCTGATGGGCCCTATCAGAAAGCATGTCACTATGCAAAACACCTGTAATCAGAGTTAACGAGGATTTCAGTGAACATCGAGGAAGGGGAGAGGAAAGGCAGGACATACATAACAGTGGGAGAGCTTGGTCGCGTGATCTGTCTCTCAGTGAATCTAGCGATAAAGTCACCTGACCCCAATGAACATGGCGGTGGCCACGTGTTGTGGCCTGAATGGAAAAACCACAGGAATTTTAAAAGCCGAGGGCCGCCTGGTTGTTATCCAGGGTCTGAATCGTGAAAAACCCGCATAAACAGACAATTTAAGGCATATTTAGGCTGGTACGATTTGCTTTCCAGGTCAAGACTGTGAAAAACCCGCAAAAACCATGACATCTCGAGCCTATGGGGAACAGCTCCCCGTTTGAGATGCAAGCGAACATCCAAAACGTGTGCCCAGGCGTCCGAGGTGCCCATGTGGGATGCTAAAGGCCGAACCGGATCAGCCCTTCCATCCATGAGAAAGATAAGAAAGAAGAAAAGAATGAAATAAGAGAGGAAGGAGACTGGAAACCCCGGGCCTCCAGATGAGGGAATGTACGGGCTTAACAGGATGCAAGCCGTAATGAATGCCAGCGATAGGGAAGAGAAGTACCCCTCCCTGAGCCCAGAAACACCGGGAGGACCGGTCAATCCCGGGTTAAAAAGACTCAGATAAGCTGGCTGGAGTGAGGAAACTTACAATTAGAAGTCGGTGTTGTTTGTAGGAATGAGTCCAGGCAGTTGGTGGTGTTGAGGAAGGCCCTCGGTCCTGATTCAATCCCAGAAATTGGAGCGGGTGAATCTTTCGAGTCCGCGGCACCAAATATTGTTCTTTAAAAAGAATATGATGATGGGATGCCCCAGGCGGCTCGCGGAGCAGCTTCTAGTCTGACAAGGATGGCTGTGGGTCCCTGCAAGATCTCCAGGGTGGCAGCGCCATGCGGCCGGGGGAGTCAGGCGGGCGGTTACGGCGGATAAAAGGCTCACAGGACATAGTATTATTTAAAGAAGAAGGAGACATTTATTGCTTAAAGAAGAGGAAAACAGAAAAACATAAGAGAAACATAGAAAGAAACAAAGACACATGTACACACGACACAAGACAAACACAAGAGAGAGAAAGATGGCGACGGGGGAGGTCAGAAGTGGCTGGGGTGGGCGTGGTTAGTCCTTAAAGTGACTGCAAAGGAATAACAGCCAGGGCTCTACATAGAAACCATGTCAAGAAAGAAAGAAAGAAAGAAAGAAAGAAAGAAAGAAAGAAAGAAAGAAAGAAAGAAAGAAAGAAAGAAAGAAAGGGAGAAAGAGAAAAGAAAAAGGAAAAAAGTTGATGTCATCTACACAGGCAAACAGATAAAAGAGATAAAATATAGAAGAAAAATAGCTCCATCCCAGTGGGTGTGGGGCGAAGATGGTTGACAGTGAGTCTTCTCTAGACTTACGAGCATGAAGCAACAGCTGGCCATGTATTGGATGAGTGTGGAACAAAGATGGCCAACAGGAGTCTCTGCAGTATCTATGGATGTGGACCAAGGATGGCTGTCAGCTCTTCACCTCACACAGGACAGCTTCATGTGCTGTACAGATACAGCAGCTGTGGGACACCTGGAGGAATCCATTGAGCACCAGGTGACAAGTGGCTCTGTGTCTACGTCCTCTTAGGCAAGGTCAGTTGTCCCCATGAAGTCCCTCAATACTGACGTGACGTCAAGCCTCACACAAAGCCTGGGACACAGAGATCATGCAGTGACTCCCGGGGAAGTACAGGACAACCTGGGGACAGTAGTGCTGCTGTTTTTCTTTTTCCAAAATATATCTGTTGTCTTTTCTGATTACAAACGCGCCCCATTCCTCTAGAATATTTGACAAATACAGAAAATGGCTCAGAAGAGCCTCAACATTGACCCTGCTTCTGTGGAGCTGAGCTGTCACCGCTGACATCCGGATGTGATGCTCTCTCGGATGCCTTTGTGCTGTTATTATAGACATGGGTGGTGCCAACTCATTACCAAGATAGTAGCATGGTGCTATAAACAGAGATGGGGCTTTTGTGTCAGGACCACATTGCCCCAAATAATCACACAGAAACTTTCATTAATTACAAACTGTTTGGCCTATTGCTCAGGCTTATTATTAACTAGCTCTTACTTTTAAATTAACCCATCTCTATTAATCTATATTTTACCACGATGCTCGTGGTTTGTTACCTCATTTTCTACATGTCCTGCTGGTTTGTCAGTTGGCTGGCATCTCCCACCCTGCCCTTCTCCTCTGTCTATTTTCAGTTTGGCTTTCCTGCCTGGCCTGATTCTCCCTTGCTATAGGCTAAAATAGCTTCTTCATGAACCAATGAGAGGAATACATAGTCACATCATACAGAAGTATTATTCCCAACACAGTGCCTACTGTTTCGGAAATTATTTTGATACATTATGCATTTCTCGAACGTCTCCATGTCACTGAATCACCTCCCACTGCCTGCCGCTGAAGAATGTCCTGGGTCTGCCCTGTGTGGTGCGGCCCCTGGGTTGTTATCGCTCCCTCCATTAGGCTTGGGGTTGTTTCCCACTTTGCATGGGTATAGAAAATGATTGGTGCCTTGTGCCTGTAATCCCAGCACCCAGGAGGCCAAGACAGACACTCAGGAGTATAAAGTCAACCTGAGCTGTTGAGACTTTGTCCTTAAAAAACAATGATAATCATAACAATGATTAAATAAACAAATAAGCAAAAGGTGCTGGGCTGAACAACTGCGTGATTGAACAACAAGACATGATTTCTGATCAAACCTCTGATTTTATTATTCCTCAGAAGCTGTTGTATAGCAAATGGGCAAGGGGGAGAGGAGGTGTGTCTGGTCGGCTGGAATTCAGGCCTGGAGACATCCCTAGCTGATAAGAAAATACTGAGGGTCTGTGATTGTTGACTAACAAAGGAAATGCTAATTGTTTTTAAAAGCCTGTGCTTGCAGGTCTCACTAGGAGACAAGATACCAGGTTGATTTCCTAGGCCCTGCAGAATTTACCCTGCAAAGGGGATAGAGGTGAATATTTTACTTGTGAGCTTAAGATGGCTGTAAACAAAATACAGATCTCAAAATACAGGTCTTTGCTTCCGGCGCGCGCGCGCGCGCACACACACACACACACTTGTACATACATATACAACCATGTATACTCAAACACACCCACATTAAAAAAAATGATGTTTGGGACTTCAGCATACGGTTAGCAGGAACCCATACTCCAGTCCTTGGAAGAAGGTCCCCAAGGGGACAGTAGGATTGTGATAGAAATGAATGACGGTTTCGAGAGGAAGACATAAGCTATGCCAAGGACTTGGAACTGGGATCCTTTCTGACCAGGGTCCTGGAGTGATGAAGGGTGAAGGCACTTAGCACATTTATCCTGGAAAATAGATTTAAAGAGAGACATGACAGCCCTCCTCAAATGTTTAAAGGGCTGTCTCATAAAAAAGAAATAATACCGAGTCAAGGGCTCCCGGTGACAGAATTGGGCTCAGAGACCAGAAATCAAGGAGACAGATCTCTGCTGATGATAAAAAGAGAACTCTGCAGTAATTGGAACCTTCCAGAAAATCCTCGGGCTTTGGACTTAAGAAGCATCGACAGACTGGGGTCTGTGTCCTCTCTCACAGCTCCAGGAATAAGGAGAGAAAGGTAAATATTGACTCCTAGGCGTCGTTAATTTGGTGTTTGCTGTTTGTCTAGGAAATAGAATCGAAGGGACAAAAAGAGGACATCTTAAATAATAAATTAAACGACGCCCTGGCCATGGTGGAGGAGGCTCAGCAGATGAAGGCAGCCGAGAGCCGCAAAGCCGAGACCCTTGCCCTCAAGTTAGACGGAACAGTAGCCGAGCTTGAAAAAACCAAGACAAAAATGGTGGGTTGATCTGAAAACTGCAAGCTTCCCCCGTGGAAGACTGCAGCATGTGCTGGCTAGGATTGTATCAGCCTGGCACACAAACCAGAGTCATTCGGGAAAAGGGAGAAGATGCCCACTCCAGACTGACCTGTGGGGAAGCCAAGCCTGTGGTGCCTGTTCTTGATTGGTGATTGATGACTGGTTGGGTGGGCCCTACTCAGTTGATGGTTGATGATTGGTGAGGGAGAGTCCAGCCCATTGTGGGTGGGGCTACCTCTGGGCTGGTGGTGCTGGGTTCTATAAGAAAAGCAGGCTAAGCAAGCCTTAGGGAGCAAGCCAGTAGGCAGCACCAGCCGCGGACTCTGCATCAGCTCCTGCCTTCAGGTCCCTGCCCTGAATTCCCTCAGCAGTGGAGGGTGACCCGAGAGTCGTAGGCTGAAGTGAACCCTCGCCTCCACAAGGTGCTTTGGTGTGTGGTCATCACAGCAATAGAAATTCGAACTCTGACACAGTAGCAGGAGATTGCGGGCGTGGGGAAGACTGAAACCAGGCCTGCCCAGCCTCTGGCTGCTGACATTCTGGGCCAAGTACCTTTCTTCTCAGGGACTGTCCTGCGCTTTGTGGACAGTAAACAGCATTCTCCCCGCCCCCAGCTGAGACAGCCATTGCCAAATGTCCTTTAGAGGCAAAAATCACCTCTGATGGGAAAGGTCGTCCTGCTGGACTGGGTGAGACAGATTCATAATCCCAGCTACTCTGGAGGCTGAGGAAAGCGAAACATACATTCCAGGTCTGCCTGGGCAACAAAGAGAGTTCAAAACCAGCAAAGCAACTTGATTAGGACCCTGTCTCTAAATAAAATAAATGTGGGGATCTGGAGCGCTTGCAAAATATCCACTGGTAGGAGCTGGGAGTCCAGCATACTCTCTAGAAGGGAGAGCAGGAGCTAGGAAGGCAAGGTGGGAAGGACTGAGGTAGAGACATCAGGAAGGGTCAGAAAGGGGAGGGTGGTCACAGGAAGGGGAGGGTGGTCACAGGAAGGGGAGGGTGGTCACAG